TCCTCCAGTCAGCCGTCAAGTTCAAAAATGGAGAACTACGATGAGGAATTTGCCATGATGGTCAAGCAATTCCGGAAGTTCAAAAAGTTCTTCAAGAAAGCTGACTCAGTCAGAAGGCCATCCAAGGGAAAGCCACAGGTAAGTGACTCTCCTCCTGAATCTTATTTGTGTTACAATTGCAGGAAGCCTGGCCACTGGAAGTCAGCGTGCCCGTACCCAAAAGTGGAGAAGTACGGAGAAAGAGAAAGGATCGAGAAGAAAAAGAAGGCAATGGTTGCTGCTGAAAGTGACGAGTCATCCAGCTCAAGCTCGGATGAAGAAGCTCTCATCTGCATGGAGCGCAGAGTTGAAAAGTCCAACCATGAGGATAGGTGGACTATGTCAGAAGATGACATTCTCTGCCTAATGGCCAAAGATGATGCTGATCAAGAGGTAACCTCACAAACCTCTTGCTCATCTTCTTATGAAAGCATACCAATTTCTGAAAATCTTTTTGACCAGTTCAAAAAGATGATGAAAGACTTTGAGGAGATAAATCTCAAACATTCTTCCCTAACAGAGGAGAACAAACTATTGAGTGAAGAGAATCTCAAGTTGACTGAAGGTCGGAAAAGTCAACTGAATGAGATCACTCAACTCAAGACTGAAAATGAATCTCTCTCTGAAAAGGTGAAATCCCTTAACAAAGAGCTAGGGATACTCAAGTCCAAAGAAGCAGTGGATAAGCTTCTTGAAGCGACCAAACATAAGGGTCGTGAAGGACTTGGGTTTGACCCCTCTAGCTCTAAAAGGAAAGGGAAGACAACTTTCATCCCTCCTAAACCTACTGCTAAACCAAATACGCAGAAAGGGAAGGAAAAGGAAAAACCAACAGAAGTTCCCAAAAAGGTAGTCCCTCCTAAGAACTATAGGAAGCTGGACAGACCTCAAAAAGGAAATAATTTCAGAAGAAAACCTTCTGACCCCCATTATACACGAGGCTATACCCATTATGGGGTAGACAGGAGTTTTCCAAGAAATTCTGAGTGGAGAACTATGCCAAGATATAGTCATCCTTCACCCCAGAAGCTATTTGTGCCACCTAAGTATGCTTATAACCGACACAGGAGACACTATGCACAACCTAGACAAAATTATAGGTCTTATCAACCTAGGTTTGCTAGGAGGAAACAGGAAATAACACCTCCTGCACGTAGGAAATTTTATGCCTACAACTATGACTACAATCCCAACAAGTTTAGAGCTGCAAGGAAGATTCCCTGCAACTTCAAACTTGATGTAGGGACACATACCATTAACTACTCCGGACCCAAACTTAATTGGGTACCAAAATCTTCCTCCTCCTAATGCAGGAAGCCACTAAGTACCCAGGTGTCTGGTACTTAGACAGTGGCTGTTCAAGACACATGACGGGTGATGCGAGCCTTTTGAGCAATCTAATTCCCTATGATGGTCCAAGAGTTACTTTTGGAGGAAGCAATGATTT